CATTACAAAAAGAACCAGATATTTCTTTCTTTTTTATTATTTGTTTAAATTCCGGTATTGTAAAAGATGAAGATACTGTGGCAGTGATCGGGGGCTCTGTGTGATAAAACTAGCAGCAAGGAGTGCTAAAGACCTTGAGAAATTTCATATGAAACTGTTTTGTCCTTTACCATGGGTGATGCTCCTTTGTTTATTTTTGCAAACTCAGTGATGAAAGTGTGGATAGTTAATTAGCTTTCTGTTTGTAGACTTACAAGGACTTTGTGCTGTTGGAGGGAGAAAAAAATTAAAAAATTAGCACACAATTTGTTGGTGTGATTGCCACAACTGTGACACACCACAATAGAAAGCAGGGACTTGAGGGACTGCTCTTGTACCTGGGCAGGTATTCTTCTATGCCTACTTGACTGCTTGTGAACTTTTTCAGTCTTACATTTTTTGCTAGGAATATTTTAGGATTGATCTGTGTTCAGGAGCAAATCATTTGGAAAAATTGGTGTTAAAATGGGCTCATCTATTTTCAAAAAGGAAGTGACAGAAAGAACACTTTTTTTAGCCTTGCATGGAAATATTGTCCAAACCTTGAGTTTGTAGATGACAAACCAGAGGCATGCAGTTTGTTTGCTCATTTAATGTGTCATAGAGAGTGTAGATATTATATAGGGAGAATCTGCACGTTTCACATTTTTTCATGTTCTTTTAAAAAAAAAAAAAATTGAAAAAAACAAACATCAAAATATATTCAGAGAGCATTAGGGTTCCACTAGCTTTGGAAAAAAGTAGTGAGGAAATAACCAAGAAATCAAATGTCTGTTACTGTAGGTTGTGTATATATGACAAATTATTCCATAACAGTTCCTTACCCAGAGGAGCAGCCTCCACTCCAAGCAAAAAATCTTTAGAAACTGCTGGAGGAGGGTTCATCATTCTGGGTTCTTCTACTATTTCACATAGTTTGTAGAAGATGGGCAAATCTGATTATGAGTGGGTCTACATTTTCTGTGTAAGCCCTGGATTTTCTGGAAAAGCTAGAACAATTTAGGTTGAGTAGGAAAGGTATCGATTACAGTGGTGGTGACTCACCTCATTAACTGCATCTTGCCAATGGCCTCACACCATGTGAAGTTTTTTTTAATTTATTTTTCTATGGCTGGCCAGTCGTTTGTCATGTTGACAGGCAATGGCCTTCTGAGAACACTAGCTACTATTATGGGATCACTGAGGCTGAACAGAAAAGGAGAAAATAGCAGGAAATATAAAACTGCTACTCTGTCTCAAAACCAGGTAGGTGGAAAAAATGGTCATTGTGAATCTGTTTGAGCATAAGGTGATAACTATTCTTTTGGTGTTAAGCAACTTCATCTAACTCAGCTTCAAAGAAAAGCCTAAAGCAATGGGAATAAATTTCCTAACAGGTGGGTAGGAAATAGATGTTCTCAGACTGTTGATTACCCTTGAATTAAGCATACAGATCTGGAGAAAATACGGAATACCTAGCAAACAGCACAGAGGATGTGCAAACCATTTCTCTACCTAGATCCAGCAATACTTTATATTGTGAAAACCATCTGTTTTCAGAAGATCTCAAATGTGCTGTTAGTGTTTAGTGGAAATGTGTCATGGTTGAGGGTTTCTGTTAGGTCCTCTGGAAGCACTCATGAAATGTGGAATGTGAAAATTAGCCAAAGAAGATCTTTTTGGGAAGGTGAATTATGTGGAGACTCAGTCAGGCCTAATCTACAGGAAGATTAAGAAGAAATTTTCATGAAAATTTACAGATAAAGCATCTGTGTTTTGATCTGAAAGTGGAGGATCTTGTAAGGGATTCAGTCGTATCTCCACCACCTTAAAAGTATAGATTTAACTTCTTATTTGAGAAAGGACATAAATAGTTTATAGATAGGCAAAACTACGTTGCAGGGATAGAACCAGACACAAGGAAAAGCAAAGCCAATGTGAGATTAACCCTAAAAGTTGGAGGTGTTGTAGGAGATGGCAGTGAAGTTTTCATTATGATTGAATATTAATTAGTGACATGGCTATTAATGATGACAGTAATTAACAGAGGAAGGAAAGACTTGTCATTGTCCCGAGGGTGAGTAATCAGTCTTGGCAGGTGATAAATAATGGTTCAGCAAACTCAGCAGAAAGATAATCTGTCTGCCTCAGGACAACTGGAGAACAGCTATAAAATCTTCCAGGCTCTTGGCAACATTCAGGAATGACTTCATGTTTTTAAGAGACAAATTAAAATCCTTGATCTCTAATGTTGCTTATATTCTGGAGTGACTGATCACAGTAGTTCTGACTGAGTCAAACCTTTATTTGTTAATCTTAACAGCGACAAGAAAGATTGGTGAAGCAGCTTTCAGCGTTGTTTAAATGCTTGATTGCAGTTTGATTAAAATTGAATAAATTCAAGTAGAATATGATCATTCTATTGAGAGTTAATCTTGTGTTAAGTATCCTGTATATTTGGAAAGGGATTGATTGGAATTCACCTCCCTTCAGCAAGACAATGAATTAACTACTCTAAAAGATGTTCAGATATGAGCTGTCGCATCATTTGGGAATGAAATGACTAAGAGAGTACTGCAGACCTGTAGTCTGAGACCAAAATCAGGGAAACCAGTGGACTTTTTAGTTTGGGATATGAACAGAAAAACAAAAACAAACAAAAAAACCAACCAACCAAACAAAAACAACAAAACAAACCAAGAATGATTCTGGTTTACCTTGAGCCAAGACAGCAAATTGTGATGTTTTGTTTCCAACGAAACAGAAGGCTTCGATTTCAGTCTTCTTGAAATGATTTTCTAACCCCAAGTGTTTGTTGTACCTTTAGGCAATTTTTGTTTTGCAGAAGGCAGCATCCATGTTTATAAAGTTGAAAGTTTTATTAACAAGTATGTCAAAACAACAGTTATGAACTCCAAACATTTTCCTATGTATTTTTCAGCTAGCACTGTGTCTGCCAGTAAAATCCCAAGCAAATCTTCTGTGTATTGAATGCACAGAATGTTGTCCATGGACAAATCAGAGCTCACTAAAAATGTGGCTTATTGCACTAGAGAATAAAGTGCCACATTTTATGGGTGAGAGTCAATGCATTCTAATGTTCAATCATGTACAGTAATTTTAGTGAAAAGATTGCCAGTTTCTTTCCTATTTATTGTATATGCACGCTTAGTTTATGCAGGGTGTGCAGAAATGAGCTAAAGCAGTACTCAGCTAGGACTCTGAAATTTGTAAATTAGTCAAAATGTGTTTTACTGGGGTTCTGTTGTGTGACTGGCTGTGGGTCAACTGAGTTCCTGAGTGCCAGGGGACGAAGAAGGGATCAGTAGGCACAAAGACAAGCTGCTGCTTGTCTTTGACACAAACTAAATTTTTAGCTCTCTCTGTTTGGCTGATAACTCAGTTCCATGTTTCTGTATGATTGTCCTGACATTAAAGATGCCAGGTGCCGATAAATGATCCTTCCTCTCCTTGCTGGATAGTACTTTCAGAAACAAAACTCCCTATATCACAGAATCACAGAATGGCCTGGATTGGAAGGAAACTTCAAGGATCATGAATCTCCCTGCCACATACAGGGCCACCAACCTCTACATTTAATATTAGGCCAAGTTGCCCAGGGCCCCATACAACCTGGCCTTGAACACCTCCAGGGATGGGGCATCCACGACCTCTCTGGACAGCCTGTTCCAGTACCTCACCACTCTCATAGTAAAGAACTTCCCCCCGACATTCAATCTAGATCTTCCCTTCCTGAACTTAAAACCTTTTCCCCTTGTCCTGCAGTTATCTACCGCTTCAAAGAGTTGATTCCCCTCCTGTTTGTGGGCTCCCTTTAGGTACTGAAAGGCTGCAATGAGGTCACCCTGCAGCCTTCTCTTCTCCAGGCTGAACAAGCCCAGCTCCCTCAGCCTGTCTTTGTAGTGAAGGTGCTCCAGCCCCCTCATCTCTGTGGCTCTTCTCTGGACCCTCTCCAACAGCTCTCTGTTTTTCTTGTACGGGGGCTCCAGACCTGGACGCAGTACTCCAGATGGGGCCTCACAAGGGCAGAGTAGAGAGGGACAATCTCCTCCCTGTCCCTGCTGGCCACCCTTCTTCTGATGGAACCCAGGGTACCATTTGCTTTCTGAGCCGCAAGGGCACACTGCTGGCTCATGTTAAGTTTTTCACCCATCAGGACCCTCAGGTTCTTCTCTGCAGGGCTACTCTCAAAGACTGCCCTCTCAAGGACAGTCTGTATAAATGCCTGGGATTCCTCTGGCCAAAGTGCAAAACCTTGCACTTTGCCATGTTGAACCTCATTAGGTTCACCTGGGCCCACCTTTCAAGTCTGTTGAGGTCCCTCTGAATGGCATCCCTTCCTTCCACTGTGTCAACCGCACCGTTCAGCTTGGTGTCATCAGCAAACTTGCTGAGGGTGCACTCAATTGCTTCGTCAATGTAATTGATAAAGATGTTAAAGAGCACCAGTCCCAAGACAGACCCATGGGGGATGCCGTTCTTTACCAGCCTCCACCTGGACATAGAGCCATTGATGACCACCCTCTGTCTGCACCCTTTCAACCAATTTCTTATCTAAGGGGTCGTCCTCCCTTCAAATTCACACCCCTCCAATTTGGAGATAAGGATGTGGTGGGGACCACGTCAAGGATATATTCTATGTGCTGAAGTGAGAGAAACACAACCAGGAGAGAAGAAGTTACGTGAAACCATTAGAGTAGCAGTTGACTTAGAGTGTAGGAAGTCTCCTCTGGCATTTGGGGTTAGTAACTACCAATGAGTATATAATTAGAGTGCAGCACAGAAAGCAAAAACAATTTGAAACCTCAGGAGAGATAAAAAGGAAAATGGATAATAAATGCATATAAGTTCTTTTTTTACCTCATCTCAATGTTATCTTTCTCTAGGACTCTCAAAAACTTCTTGGTCTCAGTATTCAATGCCTTCTTTTTTCCCATTTATTTATTGATTTTATTTTGCAGGTGCTGATATTGTGCAGTGGCTTATGAAGAACCTCAGCATTGAGGATCAAGGTAAAGTGAACCATGGCTGGGAATTAACAGACATTTCTGCTGTACTGTTTGTGTGCCATAACAGAATATGTACTACTTCACTGCAGAGTGTAAAGAGTAGAACAACAAGGTTGATTTAAATATTTGGTGGGAAGAAGGAAAGCAGATAAGAATCAGCAACATAATTAAATCTAATATCTTACAACTACAGTGCACAGAAAGCACTTTGTAGGAGTCCTAGCGTGTCTGTGAAATTGTTGCTACCTAAGAAAGCCTGATGTATTCTAAGGCTGTTCCCAGACTCAGAAAGAAATTTGGTAGATATGTGACTAAGTGGGCGAATGTAGTGACAGGACTCCCTGGTGTGGAGAAGGGTAGCCACAACTGACAGGACACGGTGGCCAAGGATGATACAGACACCAGTATGGGATCAGATGGTGATTTATCATGGCAGGTAGGTAAATGGATAATGAGCCATAAACTGTGATCGGTGTTTGGGCACAGTCCAAATAGTTCACACTTCAGATAAACCAAAATCAAAATCACCTTTCAAATGGTTGAGAGCTATGGGGATAAAAAGGCCTTGTTCAGGCCCAGAAGTTTCTTTTGCTTTCCTGTAAAGACAAAAAAAAAAAAAAAACATTTCATTTTGCAGTCTGCTTCTGCTGTCACTATGTAGGACAGGAGTAGAGGCCACATCGACTCACCCAGGGCAATTTTCTACACACATTTCTTCTTGTGAGTCCAGTCAAGTCCAAACCTGAATTTCAGCTGCAGACAATGGATTTATTATCTGCCTGGGCACATGTGATAATCTAATGTGTATTTTGCAAGTCTGAGACAGTAGATGCAGCTTTTGACAGCTGAGATCTGTTGAAAGTATGTGCAAATCATAAACTCATAGAATGGTTTGGGTTGGAAGGGATCTTTAAGATCATGTGTTCCAACCCCCCGGCTAGAAACAGGGACACCTCCGTCTAGACCAGGTTGCACAAAGCCCCATCCAGCCTGGCCTTGAAAGCCTCCAGAGAGGAGACACGCACGTTTTCACTGGGCAATCTGTTCCAGTGTCTCAGTACCCTCACAGTAAAGAATTTCTTCCTGATATCTAGTCAAAATCTATCCTTTTCCAGTTTAAAGCCATTTCCCCTAGTCCTGTTGCTACATGCCCCGATAAAATGTCCCTCCCTAGCTGCTGTAGTGGCGAAGGCTGCATCTAGGGACTTTCATCTATATTTTAAGGCTGCTTTCTGCTTTGCATGATTTCATTGAAAGGTGTATGGATGAAGTGTGATTGAAACATGGCTTATGCATGTGAGGTCATGCTGTGACTCATCCATGGCCCTGCTGCTGAAAGCAGAGGGTTGTGCAGGGCGTATCATCCTGACACATCTCTTCTTTTTTCTCTCTTTTTCTACTCTTTAACAGGGGAAGCAATACACTTGGGAAGTCTTATTGCTGCACAGGGTTATGTGTTTCCAATCTCAGACCATGTCCTTACCCTGAAAGATGATGGGACGTTCTATCGCTTTCAGGTTGGTGAGCCCTCTGCCTTGCTTGTGTGTCCCTTTCTGCTGTTCTCTGGTAGCACAAAATTGAGTATCCACTCTCCTGTCCGAAGTGGACCAGTGCAAACTTTGGAATCAGACATTTGAGCTCCGGCGCAGTGGAAAGTTCATACTTCTAATCTGCTTCTGGTTACAGGTTGGTGTAGGAGGGGGCTTGCTTCAGCCTTTGGCTCTGTTACAAAGAATGCCTAACCTTGGCAGCTATTTAAGCTGGGACACTTCTATCCCTCATTGTCTCTGTGCCTCCAGATATGTTCAGTTTTTAAAGCATCCGGTGCTTGAGTTCAGTGTCCTTTTCAAAACTTGCTGCTATCAAACTCCTAGATAACTGGTGTGAGTGCTGCAATAACTCCTTTTAGACAGATCGTGTAACTTTAAAAGAAGCTGTAAGTTCAAAACTATTGTCCTGTTGTTTAATCTTGCTGGTTAAATTTGTATTTTTCTGTTATTTTATCTCTGTCAGCTTCCTTATCTTTCCTGTGACCTCTCTTCTATTCACCGTACCATTTTTCCCTTTCCATTTGTTTTTTCTTTTTTAGTTTTTATTTGAAAAGCATGTTCTCATCTTTGCATCTGCTGCTGCTGCTGCTCATGCTCACAGTCCCACTCTTAATGTGGTATTGTTATCACACGAGACCAATGGCACAGGGAACAGGGAAAAAAACAACAGCAACAACAACAACAAAAAATGAACAGGGAGATCACAGACCTAAGCGTATCTCTGCTCACCTTCTGATTACCTGGCTCACTCAGGCTATTTTTCATGACAGTTCTCTTGCTTTTTACTGAGTCCTACTATTCTCGTTGTACAAGGCTTGGCAGAAGCTGGGGCAATGCTGATTGCCTGTTTAGTTGTGTTTTTGTAACACCATAGGAAGTTTAATTCTCAAATAATCCAGTCCAGGTTTCAAAAGCAGAGTATCATTTAATTTCTTATTTTAAGCCCGTGTAAACTACATCATCAAATTGTTTTGACTGCTTATTGACTTTTTTTTCTCTCCCCTTATCTTTTCCTGCAATTGTGTTTACTGTTTGCCTGTTGTCATTTCCTGCAACAATTCTCCTCAGACCTTTTCTGCAAAAATAAGCTGATAGGATCGTTTTTCTTTTCCATTACTCCACTTTCCATTACTTGACACTTTCTACCTTGACATCAGTCCCCTCTTTAAGAGTAGCTCATCATCTTGTGAAGTTCAGGAGATATATATCAGTGCAGTGTATTGAACCAAGTGCTGTTTGATCCCTCTGAGTTTTCTCACTGTACAGTGGTGCAGGGAATAGTTTTTGTATGTGTGTAAATGTCCTATGCATTTTTGTGGAATTGCATCACTAATGCAAAACAGTGTTCTGTAATTTGTGTGGTCACAAGGACATTATTTTTCATTCATGTCAAAACTGAGATACAACCAGATGTAGTAATATCTTGTAATTAATTATAGCAACTGCAATATGCAGACTTGGATAGAAAACCAAACCAGAAAGCTTAGCAGGACTTCTGCTTTCAGAATGACCTTAATCAGCTGAGTTTTGAGCTCTTACGTCTGATTGATTTTGAAGTGAATTGTTTTGTTGGCTATCAATCAAACTGGAAGCCACTCCAAAAAAGGCAAGTTGGCCTGTGGCGTATATAAAAGGCCTCAAAGATTTTCTCATTGTCCTATGTAAATAAGTAAGTGAATAAATCTGGGTGCCTGGGAATTCCTGGGGAAAGAGGAAGTTCTGGTGATAGAGAGTAAGGAGTCTGTATTCAGATGAGAAGGAAGGAGTGTCTAAAATGCCATCAGGGTAGATGTCTTCAATCAGAACTGCAATGTTTCTACCTGCAGTGAGGAATGTTAGAGAGGATACCTTTCTGGAAAAGCATCGTCAATTTTACTGAGAACTGTAGCATTGTTTCCTTCCCCTGTGAATAGAGACTGGGTTGTAGATGTGTAATTCTTTTTGTATTTAACAATTTTTCTGCATCTGATTTGCTTTTCATCTCTTAAATTATGAAAATGCTTATGTTGTTTCTTAGGCACCATACTTTTGGCCTTCAAACTGCTGGGAGCCAGAAAACACAGATTATGGTGAGAGCATAATTATTTCATTGCAGAAAGCTAGTACAGAAAGTTTGTGATGGAAGAAATTGTCCTTCAGCTGACAAGTTCAGCAGGGCCAGGATTTCACATACTGTTGCCTTCATTCTCCAGTAGCTCTGTTCGTTTCAGCAGGATTTATGGCAAGCAGAATATTGCACTGTGGGAATCTTAAATAATATCAGTATGGCTTTTGTAGGAGAGCATGCTTTGATCTGTAGCTGAATTTGATATGTTGATCAATAAAAAGTTACCTCATTTGGGCACTTGTCTGGCTGATCAATACATCAGTATATAACTGATGGCATCCCGTAGCTAAGCTTCTGTGGTGCATGACATCACACTTTTTTTTTTTTAATTTAAGATTACCAGCCTCTAGCTGGTAAAAAGAGAAAACTGAGTGTGCTTTATGAGCTAATAAACTGTAACATGGGGTATTAGATGTGTGAATGCCTGCAGACAGTGATAATACATAAAGAAAATATGTCAGTATTGTTATCTTTAGCTGTCTCCGTGCAATATTGCTGTCTCTTCCAGAACTACACTTCTTTCACAGCTGAATGATAAAATCAATTGATGCATCCTGGTGTGGCACTCAAACAGGAAGTGAATCCATGTGTGTGCCCATAAAGCAGGAGCTTCTGGAAATGCCTCTTTTGAAATACCTCATAATCTAAGATCAGTTTATAACTCCTCCCTGAATAATCATTTTTTTCTTTCCCAAGTAATAATTATTCATCATTCCGGATTCTGAGAGTCGTTTGACAGGATGGGAAAGTAACTTGCGATGCTGTCTGTCGTGTGATAGTTCATTTGCAGTCCTCCACTGCAGGGAAGCTAATGCAGACTTATATGTTTATCCCAGTGAGGGGACTGCTTAGGACAAAATGCTGTTCATTGTTTGCAAAATGGCTTCCAGATTTTACAAACAGACACCATATATGTGTCTGAACCATACCAAATGTATTTTTTGTAAATATCAGAGTAACAGCCTGAAGAGGGAGGTTGTGTTTCTGCCTATGGTGTTTGTTCAATAACTGGGTTCCGCTGTCTGGCTGTTGTGCAGCAAAGGCATTGGGTGGAACAGTACACCTCAAATCAAGCCCCACATGAGCCGACCCACAGCTGGATGAGCTGCGACTGCATTAGCTCTGAACCCTGTAGTGACAGATTTTCATCTATCCCAGAAATCTCTAACATATGCTTATAATCAGCCTCTGCATATCAGGGGTCTGTGCAGATGGAGTCTTCCCAGGAGTTAATCCCAAATTAGCAGTAGACCCAAATAAAACTGAAATCCCAGCAGCTCTTCATACTTTTGTTATTTGCACAGAACTGCTCACAGGACAGTAATGAACTTGCTAATGGCAGGTCACTGCCTTGTGTGGAGAAGTACTGCAAGACTCTCAGTTTATTTGGTATTATTATTCGTCTTCCAGGTAAAGCTGCTTTTGAGAAGTATAGAAATAAATATATTTGACCCAATCAGCTCTGGTTATCATGCAGAATGTTGGCTTGTTATAAGGATGTTAAAATTACAGGAATGGCATTGAGGAAAATAACACAAATATCACTGTTTTTTGTCATATTTTACATAGATGATGAGGTTCCCAATGAAAAACAGTCATGGAAGTGCCAGAAAATCATATTTACGTGCAAATCAAAATCCCATGGTTTTCAAAGAAAACCCAAACATTTCTGAAAAATGTTATTTTCTATAGAGGATGCTTTGCCTTCTGCCCCATGCCAGTTTGGTGCACTGTTGGCTAATCTTTACCTGGCCCTGCAGTACAAAAAGAAGGCAAAAGGCAGGGAAATCTATGCAATTCACTCCCGGATTTCATCACAAAATGAGAGAATTGGATCTTTTTTATGCATCACGTCTGACTGTATACCCCGGGTGTGCATATTTTGTTTCAGCCTTCAGCGGAAATGGGCTGTGCTGACAGTCCAATCCCAGAGGGTATGTGCTGAGCCAATCCCAGAAGGTAGCCTGGAACTGGTTAGGTACCCTCTGAATCCCAGCTTGCACCAATTTCTGCAGTGTTTGTGTATGGTGAAATGGGTGAGAGTTTTTCTCAGTTGTTTGAAATGTACAAAATAAGTGGATGGAGCAAATGAAAACTTGCTCAAGTTATACTTCTATGATCCAGCCTGTATTTCTAAAATATTTTATCATTTCAATATCTTGATTTATTTTTTTCTTAATTATTCTTTAAGAGAAAAGGAGATGCAGAGATATACAAGGCTGCTCGCTTTTGAAGGAATTTTTTCCAAAGTGCTGAGGGGAACAGGTTGCTAATGCTAAATCTTTTACCAGCACCAGAAGTAATTGTGTCTTTCTCAGACATCTTGTTAGGACCAAGATGGCATCAACTCTCAGCACTTTTAAATGAGATGTCCCAGATGTTTAAGGCCTCTCTGATTGCTAGCACATGATGTCAGCTGGGTATTCAGCCCTTTCATTCCTTGGCTTATGTTGCCTTCAGATGAGAAGATTGTGGAGGTTTGTGTTTTTTTCAAGATCTTGTACTAATAATCTGTCTGTAATTGTTTTCTGTTCTGTTTCTCCCTTTAGCCATCTATCTTTGCAAACGGACCATGCAGAACAAAGCTAGGCTGGAGCTGGCCGATTATGAAGCCGTAGGTACACTCCTGCTAAAGTTTAGTGTGTGGGGGCATAGGGGAAGGCTTTGTTTGCCAGCTGAATGCTGCCATTTAATGCCTTGGGGTCAGCCTTTACTGTGTGTCTTTTTTTAGCTGTCAGAATTTGTTGAAGGTTGATCTGGAAAAAACATCAGGCTCACGAATGAGGAATGTCCCCAGCTCTGCAGCCTCTCCAGTTAAAGCATCAGCACCAAGAGGCAAATCACATAAAAGTTTACATTGGCTTCCTCTTTCCAGTTAACACTTCCTGGTTTATATAGCCGATATGAACCTGCAGAAATCATGGATGATGACCCATGGCATGTAGTTACATACTATACTTACAATATAGTTACATACTGTAAAGGAAAGTTTTCAGTTATGAAGCTTGGACTGTGTATTCAGTATGCTATCACACTTATTCAGGGAGTGTTTTCTCTTATGAAATTATTATTAATAAAAAATATCACCAAACTCAGCTTCTGAGAGTGCAGAGTTTGGGTCAGTATGGAGGGGAGGATGGAGGCAGGAATGTCAGTGTTGAAATGAGTTTCTTTGAATGCTAGCAGTGTATATCAGTCTGACGAGCTGAACTTTGCTTTCTGTCTGTCTTCTGGTTCAGCAGCATAATTGTTGAATGTCCAATGTGGATTTTTTCAGTGAAGTGTTTTTCACAAAAATGGCTCTAGTGGACTTGTGTGTTCATGTTTATTATTGAACACATCTATATTGTGTATATTATAGGGTTTTCTATTCTTTTTTTCCTAGAACACATTTTCTCCTTCTTCTTTTCCTTCTACTATATTTCCTTCTACTATATATCTATGTGTCTTTTGTACACATAGATATGCATATACACCATTTGGTTCTTTCAGCAGAGGGCATACAAAAATTGCCACTTGTTTAATCCACCCTTGTCCCACAAGTTCTAATTGTGAAGTACAGACATAAAGGAAGGAATATAATAATCCATATGCATTTATACAACATTTTACTGAATTTTCACTTCTGCATACTTTTTGTTTCATTATTAAAACCATTAAAATTGGTCACAGCCTACCAATTAACTGTAAGTACTCTAAATATCTATGATAAAACAACAAAAGACGGTTCTGCAGCACACACTCCCACACATGCCATGAGGTTATGGCTAAGTAATTTTGCACATAGTTGTCTACTGAGAGTAGCAACACGCCAATGATGGCAAATAATTAGATCTTGGCAGTCTCTCATTCTTCTTGTGAATATTGCGTTGCACGATTAGAGGTCGCTTCTTCATTCATACTTTGCTCCCTTAATTAAAGACAATCAGGTAAGAATGGCACTGACTTTTCCTAGTCATTATGAGAGCTGAAGCAGACCCAGCACTGGAGGTGTAAGTTGAGCACACGTGAGAGAAACAGGTTTAGGGGAGTGGGAAGGAGTCCTGTACATTCAGTACCAACTTTTGTAGATGTAGCATGAGGACATTTCTCTGCAGGCACCAGCACTGCCTTGGAGTTTCCAAAGAGAATCTCTACAAAGCATCACAGGGGACATTTCATTTGAGGTTCTGCTTGCATCATTCACAAGCAACTCCCAATTTCTGCTGGTAAAGCAGAGCTCTTCATTGTATGATTGAGCTTGCATGAGTGGATTTAACTTTAATTTATAACTGAACAAACATAAGCATGATTCAAAGAATGTTTCAATTGGTGATATTTAATTGGCTTCATCATATTTACTCCAGAGGGCACATATGAACATAATTTAAAATAAAAAATAAATCAAAGCCACAAAAAAATTCTTTTTGCAGATATTACAAGTGGTTCATAGTAAAGGAAATCATCACAGCTTGGCACAGCTGTAAATCATTTGCTTAACTGTTTTCCTCCATGTAGAATACTGAAATTCTTAAGTAGACTTGGTGGTAACTGAGCCAAGCTTTGTCTTGTGTTATACAAGAGCTTGAAGTAAAAAGTAGGGAGACTTCTAGCACTGAAATGCATGCACTTAAGCATTTTCTTAAATGGAATCAATGTAAAAAGAACAACAGTAGAACTAATATTGTTCATTTTCAAAGAAAATTTGTAACACTTGAACCAGCTGTAATGGGTCAGGTTAGTGGTCTCATAGACCACTAGTCTTCAAGTGGTTGTGGATGTGACTTCATAGAATCATAGAAGGTGCTTTTTGAGCCTCAGATTCTGGCCGTGTCAGTGAGCTTGACCTCGGTCTGTGAGGAACTTACACCCATCTCCAAATGTTCAGATCCTGATGCTCTCTGCAATGGACCTGAACTAGAATTCTTCAGATGCAGGAAAAAGGCTGCATCTGGATCTGGTCTCTCAGTGAGCTATTTTCATTGTTCAGACAAACAAGCTATTTCCTTTTGTGAATCATTCTGGCAATTCCCAGACTTGAGTGCGGTGCAGCTGTGCAGTGCTCTCAGGGCTGAACAGAGCAGGGGATGCTCAGGCTTTACACCTTAGCAAAAGGAACCAGTGTGGGGAGGAAAAGGAAGTAGCAAAGAGAGGGAATCATGCAGGTGGCAGCCATCTGCTATCAGAAATGGAAATTGTCAGCTTTGCAGAGCTTCTCAGTATTATCTTTTGGGAACAAGACCATCACCATTTTACTAAGAGATCTCGGGCTGTCTTCATCACACTCTATTACTTCTCCTGACAGGGTCCTCTTGGCTGCAGCCTGAAAAGATGTGTCGTGACCTTGCTTTGCCTGTGGTATAAATCACCTGAAACCAGCACTGATTTCCATGTCTTGAGTTCTCCAGCTTAGAAAAAAAAAAAAAAAAAAAAAAGAAGGGGAAATAAAATTAACTCCCAACGTACTAAATGCTCTCAAGCAATTGTTGTAATTACTAGAATTAATTGTTCTTAATTATTTTCATCTTTTGTCAGGAAAACTTAGCAAGACTTCAGAGAGCATTTGCAAGGAAATGGGAATTCATCTTCATGCAAGCTGAGGCCCAAGTGAAGTGAGTAATTCTGGAGCAGTGAACTGCCCCAGTATCTAGGGCTGCACAGTGAGGGGGACTCCTAGAGTTTCTCTCTTAAAGTCTTCACTGCAGCTAAGCTCAGATGGAACTGGTAAATCATCAGCAGACTGGAAACAATAGAGAGCCAGTTGCTAAGGTTTGTGCCAGAATCTGAAAGACGTGTTTAAATGTCTCTGTGTAGAAATGCCCATCAGGAGTTCCTGAGCCTGAATTTTCCATGCAAGATTGGGCGATTCACTTGCACATTCTGCTTCTACTGTTGGATAGTATTTTTATTTCCCATAAATGGAAAGAACAAAATTTTGATATCGGTCTCTATAACTCGATGCTTGTAAAGCATTTTTAAAATACTGTTGTTTAGAAGTGCTTATAAAGGTGCTATTTACAACAGACTGTGTTTTTCTCATTTATAGCAATCCCCAGTCAGCTGTACCTCTACTTTCTGCACTCCAGTTTATGCTGGATTAACATTGTGGAGGATTGGGTACCACTTATATGAAACTTACTCCAACTAAATACTGTTGTTTTTTTTTTTTTTTCCCCGTCTTCTACTCACAGTTGAAATGCTCATTCTTGTTCACATCTTTCCAAAAACAGTTTGATGTTTTTAGCATGTTGTTATTATTGCTGCAAAATGAGCGTTGTCCAGGGTTTGTAGACTAGTGTACCTAACAGCCCGTGTGCCCATTTTGTGCACGTAATCATCTCCTGTAAAACTGGAAGGCTGATGAAGGTGGTGTATAAGAATACAGGGTACTAACGGGCTGTATTAATGGAAAGAATGTGCACTTTTAGCATCAGATGCTAAAAAGTTAAGGGACACTTTTACTTGAGGGGGTGGCTGAGGCATTGGTCTCTATCTTTGATTAACTCGTTGGAATTTTGATTAATTGTAATTATGCACTATTTAAGTATGTGGTAATTATCCTCAAAATAACAAGGCAATTAAGGGATTTTTTTTCTGAAGAGAATACCAGTGTTCTGCTTAGAAGAAAAAATTGGAAGTTACACTAGCAGTTGTACTTTAATTTACTTAAAGGTTTGTTGCCAAAAGGGAAAAAATCTCAGTCAAAACAAAATTCTGCATTCCATTTACAGCATAAATTATTTCCTAAGAAAGAAATTTTAATTTCAGATTTTTTACAGGGTCAGCACTGCATACTCATCTTTTCATGGAGAAAAAATGGACTAAAATTCACAATACAGTGCTTGGCGGTGTGTTAACTAAAACAGAGAACAAAGCAAAACATCTAAAAAGCATTTCTCCTGGTTTTGCATTCTGTGTTTGCTTCTCAGCTTGGTACAGTGAAGTGGTGTCTGGTGGCTGCTCATGCTGAGCTGGTTTCTTTTATCTCAGCCAGCTCCAAAATGCGCTGGACTCCAGGATTTTGTGGGGAGGGAAGGGGTGTTCAGATGCGTCAGCCTCAGTCCCCAATTTCCTTGGTACACTTCTAGCACAGACTCAGCTGAGAATCACTGCCTCTCCTAAAGAAAGACAAGAGAGGTGAGAACCTGATTGTCAGAAGCTGTAGCTTGCTTGTGCTTTCTCTCACTGCTGTCATTATCCTAGGTGGCAGCAGTGCAAGAAGTCAGCACGGGGATGCTGTCAGGCTCTCAAGCCTGGTCTGGAGGCAAGGGTGTCATCTGGGTTTACGCAGGGTTCCTCCTCTCTGGGTGTCATCTGTCTTTATGCAGGCAGGTCCTACAAGCTGATGGTGACTGTGCTGTGCTCACGTGTAGAGCTGAGCATCAGACATGAATTGCTAGATGCTGCTGAGAGGTACAGGTACAGCTGCTTTGAACAACCTCCAGTGCTCTGTGATGTGTATGCTTTGAGTGAATCAATTTACTGGCTACATGATGGCTGAAATTAGTGACTTACACCCATGCTAACCCCATCACGTATCTCCAGATGAGTGCTGGCTTGCACAACACTGTCAGTGAGCTGGGCCCTGTCACTCACGCTGTCACCCCACACTGCCAGCACCAGGGCAGATGGAGCCGCTCTGTTGGAATCTCCAGGCACAGCGACCACAAGTGTTGCCTGTGCTGTCACTGCTCAGGGGCCATGGGCAGCTGCCTCGGGCAGCTGCCTCATAGGAGTCTGTGATCATAGCAGTGAGGTCTCTGGGTGCAGCAGGACCTTCTGAGGTGGCCCTTCAGCCTGCAGGAGAGAGATGCCCAGAGATATAGGCCAGATGATGCTGACGGAGCCAAAGCTAAATGGTCTGGGAAGAGAGCATCAGGAAAGGAAGCTTTTCTCACCAGGTGGAAAACAAACAAACAAACATATGTTAAGATAAATTTTCCATCTTAATAGGAAAAGTCCTCTTGACACACATTGCAGTAAAAATCCATGATGTTTTGCTCATGATGTATGGACTTGGAAGTCAGAATGTAACGTTTCTATACCCAAAAAAAAATAGAGAGAGAGAGATTTCTGAACATTTTTGTCACTGAGTTAAAACTCTAGCTAGAAAATGGAACAAGGAAAAAATAGTTGTGTGGTAACTTGTGTGTTTATGCACACAAGTTTGTTTTTTTGTTTTGTTTTGGTTTTTTTTCAGAATTGACAGGAAAAAGGACAAAACAGAAAGGAAAATTTTGGACAGCCAGGAGAGAGCATTCTGGGATGTGCACAGGCCTGTGGTAAAGACTTTCTTAAATGATCAGTTTTAATTCATTTAACACTGTGCCGTGAATTGCACAGTGATATTGTCTTTAAGGTCACTGTATGGATTTTCCTCACAATTTAGAACAGGCTTCTACAAGAGTATCTCAGACATTATTGGTTTGTGCATGCTTGGAACTGTTGACTCAGAAATATATTATAAATATCAAGTATTGAAGATCTTTTTTTTGTGTGGGTGAAAGAAAAGCAGTTTGTCACAGACTTCCTAGAAAAAGCTCTCCTCTTAGCTGTGGCATTTCTGCTTTGTGCTGAAGTTAGAAGTAAACGGATTTGATGCTGAGATGCCAACTTTGGGTATGTGCACTCTCTTGTTTAGAAAGCACAATCTATGAGTGCAAACATAAGGAAAGAATTTTGGACAAGATCTAAACTCTATTTTAGGTAGGTGAGGAAGCATGCAGACTGTAAGCAGAAGACACTAATGTGATACCCATCTCCTTTAACTGTCTCTTTTCAGCCAGGCTGTGTGAACACCACAGAAATGGACATTAGAAAGTGTCGTCGTATGAAAAACCCACAGAAGGTGAAAAAGGTCAGCGTGAGTTTCTGGTTTTCTTTCATTTTTTTTAACGTCAGTCATTCTTGACACCTAGAGTATATCAGACTTTCCCAATAGAAATCAAAAGACGGGTTTGGCAAATGTCAGTTCTGTTTTGATTTAATTGGTGAATTTACTATTGCAGTTTTAGCAACAGATGTCTACTGTCTCTACATTCCCATAAAAATAAAATCAGTTGGCAAAAACACTTGGGTCACACTTTTCAGAAGTTATTTGGACACAGGTTTTTCAGAGTGCTTTATGTGCCTTAATAATCTCAAAGGCTTGATCATTTGCAGCTTGAATTCTCTTGACTTCCAGCAAGTTCTTACTCTTATGTGTTTTTATCAGTTTTAGAGGTGAAATTAGACTGCTAAATTCCATTGGTAGTTAAATTTCAGCAGAGATATTCACCTGTCTCTTTTGAACATAAAGTGAAAAGCAAAAATATTAAATGACAGGACAGTTGATATTACTTTCAGTGTAAGTCTCTGTCCTGAAAACAAATGGCTACAAGTCAATCTTTAGGTTCACGTGAACTTGAGCGACTGACACCTGGTTAAGCTCTTTCTTTGATATGTAGTTTTATGACAAGAAATTCAAGTGAGTGGAAGAAAATGAAAGAAAAGGGTTGGATTCTAGTACATTTTTTCTGCGCTTACTTCGCCACAACAATCATTCACAGCATTCCTCTTGCAAATACAAGAGACACAGCCCTCAGAGCTCCTAAAAATGATCAGCTGTATTTTAGTATTTAAGATGAGCTCCTTTTTCAGTAAGTCCTGTGAAGCAGCCCTATAGACTGCAGCAGCACAGAGTGGACACCTCATGTGCAACAGGGGAAGGTCTCAGGTGAGAGTGTTTTGCTGGAAAGCAAGCTGTGCAGGAAGCTCTGAGCACACCGCTGGCGTGCCTACAGACATCCCAAATGCAGGCATCTGCAGCACAGTCAGATCTGTCAGTTTTGCTCCCGGCTGAATGATTGTTTACCTGTGTGGGGAAAAAAAATGTAGGAAATTGTTGGCTTATTACCTTACTGTTTTGCATACTGCACTTCTCATTGCATAACAGAGAAAAAGCTCTCATCTATTCTGTTTGTTTGCTGGTTCCTTGCAGTCAGTGTATGGGGTTACAGAGGAATCTCAGCCCCAAAGCCCTGTTCATGTGCCCTCCCAACCCATACGCAAAACTACAAAAGAGGATTTCCGGAAACAAGTAAGTGGATATCTGTGCAGCAGTTCAGTTGTCCTGAGAGCTGGGTGCATCTGGAACAGTCAGGCAGTTGTTTTCTGCTTAAATAAAAAAAAAAGAACATTTAACATTGTAGAGATATCAGCAGAAACCACCATTGGTTTAACTATGCTTGATCCTCACTTCCTTTATGTCAAGCAGTAAGTATTTAAAGATGTGTATTAACTGAGCAGCGCAGTTATGGGCAACACTAACCTTCTGATTACTTTCTCTGTGGGCTAGTAGGCAGATTAATTCCATCCACCGAGGATGCCTGAAAAGTGGGCACTGACAAAGGCTAGAGAAGCTGGCACAGCCAGAACACAGGCATGGTGCTTTTGGGGAACTGGAAAAAAGTTATTTGTAGAATTGCTCTGAGGAATGGCTCTGAGGAATTGACCTGAGGAAAGGTCTTAATCATGGGTTCTTGCCCCTCCATGGGGAGCTCTGGCTCAAAATTGCTCTCCTGCAAGAAACAGCTCTCGCTGAAGTATGGGCAGGAACTGCTGGGTCAGCTTTTTAGTAAAGAAGGCATTAAACATGTTTCTTAGGCAGCTAGTTTTAGACTGATCTTCTGAACTAAGACTGAACACTACATCTCTTGAGCTTTTTCCATCATAGGCAATATGGACTGCAGAGTATGTGAAGAACTACTTTATAGCACAGTACAAATGTACTTTGAAACCTTTATTTTCTTGGTTAGAGAAATGAAAGTGTGTGTTATAAAATAAGGATCACATTGCACTCTGAGTTGTCTAGGAGCCTCAGCTCCAAATATGTCTTTCCTACTTTTAATTATTTCTTCTGAAGCTCCCCCTGGGACTTTGCTACATGAAATGGAGACTCCTGATGGAAGCAGCTAGTAAGCTGCTTCTATTACCTGGGGGAGGGTCCCATTTCTTTCTGAGTTACTTTCAAGCTGTTTGGAATGAGAAATCAATAGTGTGTTGGGATGTGATCAATGCATGCTGTGGAGCTCCTGGATTGTTAATGCCCTTGTCATCTCTCTCCTCAGATAACTTTTCTGAACCTGCAGATAGACAGGCATTGTTTAAAGATGTCCAAAGTAGCAGAAAGGTGAGTGTCCCCAAGTATGTGATTTTTCATTACTTCTTCATCTCAAATTTAGCATTTCTAGAAATAGCAAGTAGGCAGGGATGCACAAAGGCTCGTTCCATTTCCGAGCAGTGAATTCTTTTCCCTCCTCGTCCAGACATGCTGCTTGTCTGCTGACCACTGACATTTGATATTTGCCCTTCTGCCACTAAGAAAAAGTGAGTGAAAAAGGAGGATGTTGTACTGTAAAAGCAAGAGAAATGTGATCACAATGGAAAGAACCATTGCAGGGCATTCATTTCCTACATCACTAAAGTCTAGTGTTTACTTAAAGAAAAGTCATTCTTCTTTCAGTTGAAAAGCATTCAATTTTTACTTTCTGGATGAACTCTGAGTGCTCCTCTCCTGTTAGACTGACAAATCTCTGTGGAGGGCACTGTGTTTGCATCTTGTTGCATGTGATGTTTGCGTTCATGCTGGGATTCATTTGTGCTGGGGTTGTATGGCCAGTTTCTGCCCTCAGTTATGCATGTGAAACCCTATGGAAAGTACTAGGTTTGTATCTGGACTACTCAAGGCAATGTTATAAAGAGGTGGATTTCTCATAGAGGCAAATCAAGGCACAGTTTCACTGCAGAAAATTTAGTCCATGTAGGAAAGTATGAACAAGTAAAGAACAAGCTCAAATTTAGCTTCCTGAGAGTGACAGCTCCTTTACTCAGATACTTGTAAGCTACGCACGTTTTCAGTGGAATTGCTGTGACAAATGTACGGATCAGCATGCTTTTCTGTGACATCACTTTCAGAGCAAAGCTGTCTTGAACATGATGGGCATGACAAGGGATGGCTCTTTCTGGAGAAATAACAGGAATTTTTACTTAAACAAATTAAAAAGAGATTTCCCTATGAAATTTTGTGCTTTGCAGTACTTGCTCCTGTAATTAGCGTGTGTACACTAAACTAGGCAAATTAAATGGCAGGAGCTCAACAGAAAGTTCCTACTGGCTCATAATGTTTATCAATTTAAATTAAAGTTTATCCAGTTAAAAAGAAAATATTCAGAGTCTTTCTGAAATCCTTCACACACTATTTTACACCTTTGAAATTAGCACATTCACATTTATGTTTTGGGCTTTCTGGTTCTGTTCTGATAATTTTGTGTTTTACCAAAAATTCTCATTATATACTGAATTTACTTACGGTGACCTTAATATACTGTGACAGTAATAATTTCCAGGCTGGTAATTTACAGACAAGCAGATGTGTTTTGCTTGAGTTTTTTCTGGGTTGGTATTTATTCAATAAGATGGTCTCAATAAAACTCACTGACTGTGAACATCAGGTCCTGTCCACACAGCACACCTGTTGTTCAAGTTATACTGCCATGATAAATATGTCATTGTCAATGCCAGAAGAAAAATCTATTAGTTTTCAGTAGAACTGGACAAAAAACAATTTTCTTGGTCTGGAGGGACTGTGGATGACAGTGCTGCTGGAGAGCCCCAGGCTGTGGTGGGGCTTGGCACAAGGGGTGGCAAGGAAGGCCCTGGAGGGGCTCAGCAGTGATAGGGGTGGGTGAGAGAGAATGAGTTTGTGTGGCCTAAGTTGACCTGTTGCCTGAAATGAAGCCTATGTTGCCTGAAGACTGTGTGTGAAACACTGGATGTGTGATCCAAGAGCAGATGTGCTGAGTAAGGAGGTGCTGTTAGTAGTAGCAAGGCACTTCTCAGGTTGGGCTCTGCTTTTAAGACTGAGGCATCCCTCAGCTGCTCCAGGAACACAGGGAACAGTTTTTCTACTTCCAAATCCTTTTTCCTCTCTTGGGACATGAACACTGTTGGTTTTAGGATGTGGCAAGGACATTTGACAGCTCTCTAGTAAAACTGTGAATAAATTATACCTACTGTACTGAAGTGCTGATGCAATCCCAGTACATGTGACATTACGGAAATGGCTGAGGAAAGCCCAAACACCTTCCTATCAAAAGTAATCTTGGTTCCCTAAATGAGAATGTGTCACAAACCTGTGTTATCCTCTCAACCACCTGAAGTTGCTGTGAAGACTCAGCAGGGCCACCTGATAGTGAGGTAGACAGATTCTCAGTGCAAGCTCTGCCCCCTTCCATGAACTCTTAGCCATCACCTCTTCTGCCAGAATGACACAGCATCACCTGAAAAGTCAAAAGCCCAGGTTTACCTTTTGGCAGAAACACTTTCCCTTAGGATTCCCACTGCCTGTAGCCTTGTTTAGACAATGAGGCCATAATTCAGCTCCTGTCATTATACTGAATCAGCAACATGCGTTTAGCAAATCGACCCTTATTTCATCTACTTTTTCCCCTCTGATGCCACCTTATTATTTTGTTACAAGCAATTCAAGTTTCACAGCATATACCTCCTGATTTATCCTCTGTGTTGGTTTTTGTTGGCTTTTTATGTTTTATTTTTTTAACCACCCCTCTCTCTCATTGATGTCTCTGGGATTGCTGCTCTCTGAAATTGGACGCTGCTCCCTCCTCCAACCCTTGACCCACAGCAGTCGTGAAATGTAATTAATGAAATGAGATGAGACAGCCCTGAGTGCCCTGAGGGGCAGTGGGAACCTGCTGTGGTTACAAAAGTGTATGATTTTAATGCCTCATGATAAGAGCTAGGACAAACAAAAAGAAGTAATTATTGTAGGGCAGGTCAGGGAAAGTTTCTGCCTTTTGTGACCCATGGTTTCACGGGGTATTTTCCTTCTCCTGTCTTTTGAAGGTGTGGAAGACCCAAAGGTAACACTTAGCATGGACAATCACAGTGAAAATAGATTAGTTTTCAGTATGGTGAGACTCAATTAACTTATTTAATTAGTTGGCAGACTGAGGCAGAAAAAGGAAAAAGTGCCCTGGAGTATTTCGAGTATAGACTGGGACAAATTTCTTTTGATATTTTCACTGCCTACCTTTCATAAAATTGCCACCTAGTCCCAACCCCAATGGAATGCCCAATGGAATGCAAGCAGACATGGGCCTTTTCACAGGCAGCTCTTAGGATTTGAGGCTGTGTGCTTTTTCTAGGCTTGAAGCAGACCAGCATAAAAGCCAAGTGCTTATTCAATACCTGTATAGTTTACTTAATTTTACATTAATGATTATAAACTAACTACACTGAGTACATTGCATTGTCACTGTGCTAACTGATACACTGGCAAAACAAAATTTCCTATATGCTGAAGATCTGATGCTTAGGACTGTGATCCTACAATGACTTAATTGTGTTCTTAGCTACAGTGCATGACAGTATTTTGATGGGTTACTTGCAATGCTTAAAGCAGTGAGTACAAAAGGCCTTGCAAAAAAAAAAAAAAAAAAAAAAGGGAAGGGGGGAATAGCAGCATGCAACAAATGTGGAGGACATGTGCTTCAGAGTCACGTTGCTGTCTGTGGGAAGTCCTATCATATCAGTTCACTTGCTGCCACATCAGGCTGTCTGTAGGCATCTCCGCAGAACCAACCTTGAGGAAACCTTGAGTGAACTGGTGAGTGTTGCAGAGAAATCCTTGCATGCACCCTTCCAGGAAAAAGGGGCTGTTGTGTGCGAGTACTAAGAACCACTCTGATCCAAACATGGAAAAAAAGCCCTCCAACAAGGGGGGAAGGGAGGAGCAGAGAGAAAACCTATATCTCTGATACATGACTGAGTATTCAGGCATTGTCTTTATCTTCTTCTTTTTTACTTTTTTTCATATGTCAGTTTAATAGCGTACACAGAGCAGTATGTGGAGTATGACCCTTTTATCACTCCTGCTGAGCCTTCTAACCCCTGGATAAGTGATGATGCAGCTTTGTGGGACATTGAAATGAGGTAAGATTTGGCAGTTTTAGGTAATGTTAGAGTTGTCTTGCAGTCTTATTGGTTTGCTTTTCCTATGGCTGTTGGGATAGGAAGTTTCATCTCTGAATCTTCACATGATACACTCACATAACTGAAGTTAAACAGAATGGTATAGTTTATTATTTCTGTGGTTTATACAGCCCTTTCACTTCCATGTGCTCAGTTTGCATTACTGTGTAAGTTAGGGTGATTTCATGCCCCTACAGGGCATGCCTGGGCTTGGTTCTTAGAGCCCACTAGTACAAGATACCTCTACAAGATCCTTGTTCCAGCACACCTCCTTTGACCCTTGAGAGCCTGCTCTTAGATCCTCCCCAAATTGCGGAACCCCGTGCAAGATGCCACTGCTGTACAGGACACGTTGAGTAATAGCAAGATGCTGTCACTCACCATGCCACCTTCACTCAGAGCATCCTTTGGCAGATGGCTGCAAATGCTGTGCAGCTTTTCTGAAGCAGAGGTGCTGTTGTTGTTCAGTGCCAAACAGAACTGGGAGTTCATTTTAGCAAATCTTTGAGAAAAAGAATGGCAAATCTAATACTATCTGTTCTTAAATCATCGTGTAAATTTTGAGATGCTGCCAGCTTAGGAGAGCCAGTTCACCATGAATCAGTATTCCAGGAAAAGGGCAAGTTATTTCTCTGTGTAAAAACACATGTGATGTGGGATGTGAAAGGTGTTGTCCCCTGCTTCTCTGAAAGTCACAGAAGCTGGTAATTAGTTCCCTGGTCTCTGCCTCTTTTCATATAAAATCAATATTTTGGATTTCTTTTTCAGTCAGTTTCTCTCAATTTCTCCATCCTCCCTAGCAGGGTTACAGATGCAACCCCTGCAAAATACTACTCTGGAGGAGCTCCACCCACACTGTAATCCAGACATCATTACTTCTGGGTCTGTTGAGGTGGCTGGATACCCTTGAAAATATTTCTGTGTCCCCAAGGAATATAATCAACCTAATATCTTGGACTTACTAAGAACTAGAGTAAAAGCTTTGTTTCTGTTATGATTTCAGAGTTACGAAAGTGATTCTCCTGCTGTATTGTTGTGAGATGAGAGAACAAACATCTTTGTATTTTCATTTTATTCACTATAGCAAGATACCTCCTTGTGTCTGCATCTAGTTGCAACTTGCATGAATAATTAAATGATTCCCAAAAGCTCTGGCAGCCCTTGCGCTGCCTGCAAGGCTGTTTCTTGTGTCAGGAAAGCAGAGCCCCTGTTCAGAGAAACTATGCCCCTTTCCTTTCTAATGGCAAAGCCAGCTTCTGAGCAGGGTCAGCGCTGTGCAACTCATCCTTTGCGGCACTGGGGAAATGTCTCAGAAAGGCTTCTGTCTTCGACAGCACTTTGGCCTTTTCAGTCCGTGCAGCAGCAAGCAGAGCAGCTTCTAATTTCCAGAATCATCAGGAAATTCCCTGAACTCGGCTGGTGCATAGCTCTGCACCAGCGCAGCTCTCATGTCCCCATGTCCAGTGTGGCTCTCTCAGCAGAGGAGGAGCCAGCCCCAGTGCTCTGTGCCTCGAGTGAGGACATGCCCATCAGTGTTGCTTAGTCTCCATAGCAAGAGGAAATCAAAGTGGGCATTTTATTTACCCCTGTGGCTTATTTGTCTTCAGCACAGATCGCCACTGTCCCCTAAGGCTCCAGGATTAGGAATCACTGTGGACATGACAAGACATATAGTTTAATAGATACGTACTGTTTACAATGGCTCTACTGTCACAAATGTGAGCAGCTGAGCTGTGTTTTAATGGTTGTCTCATAGTATGATGCCATCACACCAGAAGCTTTCAAACACATTGTGAGCCCAAATTACTCTCTGATGTAGGCTGTCTTGTGGGATCCTCATAATTCCTAGGCAGTACCTCTCCCCATAGGCATCTCTGCAACATGTCTGGCAATTCAAACAACAGCTTATGTAAGCAGGATTGTATTAAGAAATAATATAGCAGAAAGCTTGTGAGAGAATTTGGGTGCCTCCACATCTCAGTGTCCCAGCTGAGAGTATGACTGTCATGGAGGGGAAGAGGGTTGCTTTTACGTCTTGCAAGACTTAAGTACCCAAAAGTCAGAGGCAGTGAAAAATACAAGACCACAAAGCAGTAATCATTTCTTAAAAATCTTGTACTCTTTGCTTCTCAGTCTGAAGGCAGTTCCAGGTTAGCAGCCAGTACTGTGTGGAATATGGGGTGATGCTCTGGAGCTTGCCGATAGCCTAGAGAACATTGCTGGCACATTTCTTTCTGCCTTGACATAAAACGAATAGTTCTTTATGCGAAGTGTACAAGAAGTCTCCCTTATTCACTTTCTCTCTCATTTTGCCATATAAGCAGCACCCAAATCGTATTAGCAGCACAATCGTATTAACTATGACCCTGGTCTTTATAGCTCCTTCTTGTGTGTTGTTTGCTATCTTGTATATCTGGAAATTCTTAAGGAAACAGCTACCGTCTCCTTGTCTGATAATTTTTTTCCCTTTGCTGCTTAACAGGAACAGCAGCAGCTGCTGGGACAGCAGGCAGAAATGCACATTCCATCTGTTTTTCCCCTCTCTCTCCAAACAGCAAAGAACCTAGTCAGCAGCGTGTGAAAAGATGGGGCTTCTCCATGGATGAGGTGCTGAAGGACCCAGTAGGACGTGACCAATTCCTTCGTTTCCTGGAATCAGAATTCAGCTCAGAAAACCTCAGGTGAAACCATTTTTCACTTGAACTAAATAAACGGGGCTAACCATACTCTCTTGCATAGGTGAAATGCAGTTCTTGGTCTGTGCTGAACTTCTGAAAACACCAATTTGAGTAATGCTGAGAATGGCAAGGTCTGGCCTGTAGCACTGCTACAAATACCTGCGTTAGAATGAGATAAGTAATCCCAGGAGCAGTGTTTAGCAGAGTCAGTGTTGTCAAGTATAACATTCATAGGTTTGCAAAGTTGAAATTTTGTGATGAGACATGGCTTGTAAGTCCCTTAATGATACACAGAATTTGTGCATGTGTTTGTGGCAGGGGTCATGTGGAGAAAATATGGGGTGATGTTCATGTGGCCAAAAGCTGTTGCTTTCACTCAGCAAAACAGGTTTGCATTTGGTACTTCAAATTCTGGTGTCTCTTAACTATTTGAGAGCTTGACTCTCACTATATTAGAGTTCTCTTCTGTGGGTGTTCTAGGTGCATTCTGGCTTCCTTCACTGTGAAGAAGGTGAAACTTGTAGTATGAAACATGATGTAGATATTGATGTAGATACTGTGGCACAATTCTGCTGCTTCAACTACAGCAGGAAAAGGCAGCAGGAGTAAGTTGCCAATTTTGGTGGGCCAGCACTCGGTGTTGGCATCAGGGCAAGCTAATGCCAAAGTCAAAGTCTGAATTGGTGGTACGGTGTCAGTGTGCACTCCTGTGCTCTCTTTGTTGCTATTAGCACAGGAGATGTCCTCTTCCAATAGGCCACAAAGGTATCTGGCAGATGCAGACAAAGTGCTCCCAGTTTTACTGTCCGACTCATACCTGCTCAAATGATGAAGAAATCTGCCACCAGCTGAACGTGCAGTTGGTCTGGTTTTGTGCCTTTGCTGGCTATGACAAGCTTTGGTGATGCTCTCAGTTTATACCAGTTCAGAACTTAATTGCACAGTCTTGAAATTTATGTTTTGTTAAACTTCCTTCACTTCAATGCATTAATAAAGCATATGAACAATTGTCGCTTTATTGCTGTCTGCTAGCTTGTGAAATCTGAAAGTGAAATTTCCCAGAAAGTGACTTTAAATGACATTGGAACTGACTGTCATATTTATCGTATTTGCTTGCCCAGGGAGAAATACAAAAAGCATGGCAGTAGCAAAACAGTGAAAAATCAATGTGCTTTTATGTTAGTGATTTTTAAGAACTTGAAAGTTATTTTTAAGATAAATGGGGAAGTGTTGGTAAATTACATAAAAGAACTTGACACTGTATTGCTGAACAGGTATATTGCTGAACAGGTACTGAACTTGTATGTGCTTAATGACTGAACTTACGTATGTTGGTGCTCATTTGCAATTAAATTGTAGTGATGAAGTGCAAAATTAATATACTATATTGAAATGCTCCTCAAATGGGTTTCCTGAAATATATTTGGGGTTGCACTAATGAAATCTAGCAGGTTTTACCACTAGTGGGTGTCCCCCAGGTGCATCCTATTCAAACAGATCGTGAAATTTTCATTATTACAAAGCAAGCATTTACCTTTCTCAGTCAATCAGAGGTGCTCCTCCTGCGGATATGCATTCTTGTTGGTTATGAGAAAGCCTGTAGCCATGGGAAGTTGCAAATTAGTGGCTGTGATAGAGAGGTTAAATCCCACATCCTTTCTGGAGGACTCTGGTATCATCATTAGTTAATATTATATCATTACTTTCATTCTTATGGTGTCGTTATCATGCTACTGCCTAATGTGGCATCATTGTGACCTAATACTGGATCAGTTTGGTAGACCTGCTTGGGGCTGTAAATAATAACCAACAGGACATGAAGGTAGAAGTACTCATAAAGAAAGCTGGGACAGGATGGATTGTTAAATGCTAAGAAGCAAAAGGTGGCTCCCTGAGGTTCAGGTGTGGCAGAGAAAGCTCCTGAATCCTCATTAAGTGTATATGGTAGAAAGGAAATCAACTGCTGGATGCTTAAACATGCAAGCAGGATTTAAGTTAATGCTCACCATCAAGGCTGGAACCTGTCTCACCTAGGCTTGATAGCTTGATAGCACATGCTTTCTTCTGTCATCCAGTACCAAGGCTCCTTTTAGTGTAAGAGGAGCTGAAGAGGAGTCAGTGGATCACCAGAGAAGGATTCATTTTAGCTTTAAGTGAAAACAAATCTAAAAGCAACTAAATTACACCATAAAGCTTTCTCGTTTTCCAATATCTATATGCCTGAGACGAATCCAAGTGACAGTGTCTGCATGGTAGGCAGCTATGGATAAGTGAGATGCTTCCAACCCAAACTCTGGGAAGCTGTGAGGAACTTTCTGAGGGTACACCATGTAACCCCTTGGTAGAGCAATTACTTTTGCAGGTGTCTGTTAAAGCCCCTCCTCCTAGTAATGGTCTGGAGACACGGGAATTGTCACAGCAGGGACATGTTCTACCTTGGGAGCATCAAGTGAATCTTTGTTGGCAGTAGTCTGGCAGGCCACCATGCTATCCTAAGGACAGATCTGTGAAAGTGACTGCTGGAAAATCTAGAAATTCCTGGTGGTAGAAAGGAACTTCCATTATGTGTGCTCTGACTGTAATCCAGCAGTATAATAAAGGGACTAAATTCTGCCCCTGACCAAAATCCCAGGCTGGATGACAGTGAGGCATTTCTATGTCTTCCTAAAAAAAATAAATAAATAAAAAAATAAAAAATCAGTGCTGCTGAGGGTCTCGAGAGAGGCACTGCCTGAGACAGAAGCAGATCAGCCTCCATCACCTCCCAGGTCTCCTTCCAACTGTGTTTCTGTGTTCGAATATACTTGCAGGATCATGTCCACCAGTCTCCTGGGCTTGGCTGAGCCCTGTAACTTATTTATTTACTGTCTGTCCATTATTTATGTGAGAGCAGGAAAGCCAGGTAGGTGGGTATTTTTCTCTTTTTTTTATTTTAACTCTTTCTTGTTCTCTTCTGTCTCTTTTGCTGTCTTTCATCTACAACTTGTTTTGCCTCCGTTGATTTTAGAAATACCCAAAATATAGCAATGACAAAACTTCAATTAAAAAAAAAAAAAAAAAAGAGCCCACAGAGAGAGTTGTATATATTTTTCATGTCCTGCAAATCTCGTGAGACACCTCAAGATAGCTGAGATGTTCATCTAACCAGTAGATTGATTTTTTTTCCCCAACTTCAGAGGGCATCAGCTGGAAGGAGAAAGCTAGGTGGGAATGTGGGACATGCTAATTTTACCCAATGGGAAAGAAGACTGCACACCTGTTTATGGGTCTAAGTAGGGAACACTTGACACTTTATAGGAATGTGCTGTGGAGCTTGCAGTATAGCAGCATGGGAGTTTTGTGTGCTATTGTGAACACATGTTGCAAATGGATCTGGAAAATAATTTTGTCTGCAGAAAGTGTTTCTATCTTACGTGACGCCTAATGGCCAAAACATGTTGCCAGATTTTTTTTTTCCTTTAAATTTCATCAGGAAATGAAATTTTGGGACGTTACAGAAAGCAGACCTATTAAGCAAAAAATACTTAAGCCAGTACTTCTACAAAGCAAAATCATTCACACTAAGTTGTTAACTGTTCTGGAGGCTGTCCCCGAGCCCTAGCTGCAGCCATTCCCAGCAGCCCCAGGTGCCACAGGTGATGTGGGTGCCCTGGCGCTGGTGCCCCAGGCGCAAGGATCGATCCCTGCTGGCCACCAGGCGGCACGGGCGCTCCACAGCCGAGGGAAAGCAGCATGGCATGAAAAGATTTTCTTCTGCCTTTGCCTGCGAATCACACATACTCATCCTGGAGACCTGAGCCTGGTGGCTGCATCTCTCCGCTCCAGCTGTCACTTGTGAGCAGAGCTGCTTCTTGAGCTCTGTGTAGCTTTATTCGCTTCTTTGGCAGGCAGCCGGATGCACACTGGGTGCTGCTTAACCGCAGAGAGTCACATCCTGTCCAAGAGAAGAAAGAGATGGCAGTGTGAGGACCTCTCTGCTCAGAAGTGGGGTGCCCAGCCTTGTGGGGGAGGAGGAGGGAGGACAGAGCAGGGGAGGCAGCAGGGCAGTGGGCGTGTTGTTCCCATTCCTGCCTGCACTGGCTAGGAATGCTGCAGCAGTGAAGGAGCAGAGCTGTGCTTGCCCCTAGCGCGTGGCCTCGCTGAGCCACCAGTCCCAGCATGTCTCTTTGAGGGCGGCTTTCTGCTGGCCTCAGCCACCCCATGCTTACCGCAGCCATAAAGCTATGCAGGAGTGTGAACACCCCCCACCCCCATCTGTGATGATGTGTGCTTATTTTGTACCTTCACTTAGCCTCCCAGCTGTGCTGTTAAATTGATGGTTTTATCTTGTTGAAAGGAAATGAGAGCAAGGCTGTCTGGTGAAAGATGCAAGGTGGGCTATGAGGCAAGAAGAGAGGAACATGGTCATGTTTCAAACCAAGAGTCACTCCAGAACTTTGCAGCCAACCAGGGGTGTCACATCCTGCCCTGGGATGATGTTACAGCACCATCTTCATGCTGACAGTCTCTCCTCTAATCGTTTATATTTTGTGTCTGATTCAATTTTGAAATTCATTTTTGTGTTGCACCATATCTCAGGAGCAGCCCCAGGGCTTCCCAGCAGCGTTTTTGCTGAGGGCATCTGCAAGCACCCCATAGGGGCAGAGCAGGCATCTGGAGCTCCAGGAGCTCCCTGTGCCATGAGGAGTCTGCATGGGATAAAGCACCATTACAGGATATCTCCCACGAGTGACAGCAAGTTAATTACATGCTGGATGAGGCTAGAATGCTTTATGTCTCTGACACTAGTTTAGGACACCGTATTATCAGCCTTCTCCAGATCTAACATTCTGTTTTGTAAAGGGCAGAGAACCTGCAATCAGGGCTGCCTCCCCCCCCAGTGTAAGCAGTTCTGTGCTGCTCCTGCTCTCCTTGGGGCACTGCTGGGGACAACATGGGTGGACATTTCCCTCCTGCCCCACACAAGGTGACTGCCATGGGTCAGCTCCCGGGGGAAGGAGGAGGGAATGCAGGATCTCCTACTGGCTGTTCATAGGCCTGGGACCAGCTTGTGCTCCAGCATTTGCAGGACTGACTCAGGGAGTGTGTTTGCTCAAGAGCTATAAAATTCAAGGTAGCGTTTGTGTGTCTGCACCCTTCCTGAGCAGAAGGCTCTGCTGCTGCCTTATAAGTGTTCTAGAAATGCCATATGAAGCCCAACTTATGCACTGAATTAAGGATGGGCTCTCATAGCAGATAATTTGCCTGGGAGTCATGGCTGTAGGGCTGGGTACCTCTCTTTGATGTTCTGTGACTTTCAGATATGAGCTCAAATGAACTACTTTGAAAGTTCCACCAAGGCAAAAACCCCCTTTGCCTTGAAGAGGCCATTCTGCCTTGGGCATGAATTTGCAGTTGCTTGCAGTAGGAAGAGCTTGTTCTTGTTAGCGTCAGGTTGGTTTGGTTGGGTGGTTTTCAGACTGAGCCAAATGATTATTAGAATGGATGGTGCTCCTGTGCTGGCAAACTGTCACTTCACACTGTGCCTGCTCCCAGCCCAGCTCCCAGGTTCTCAGGACAGAACATTTCCTGTCTAGGCAAGTATTCATCTTAAAATGTCCCAGCTACTCTGGGTTGATTAGCATCTTTCTTCTTCATGCCTTTTCTGCACTTGCAAGTTACCATCACGTTTACAATTAAAAATTTTCAATTATTTTTTCCCAAACAGGCCCATTTCCCCTTCTGCAAGTATGGGACAAGGCTAAATGGATTGGCAGCCTCCTTTGATGATGATCCCTTCTTGTTTCTGTGGCAGCACCAGGAAACCCTGCTGATAGCTAGCCCAGGGGCCAAAGCAGCGCAGGAGTCACAGAGACTGCTGGCTTCTCCATCCTCCCTTGCTGCCCGCAGGGTTTTGCTTTAGAATAGACTGCCTCATCTTCCTTCCAACATGAGGGAGCTTTTGCTTTAGTGCTAATAGGCAAGGCACCAATTAATAATTTGAGATGGGAAATGAGTCTTTCAGATAAAGTTCAATTCATTTATTTGGTAGTCTTCCATAATTAAAAGCGAGGGACACATGATTTTCAGTATTGTGCAAGCTCTTTCAGCTGCCCTGACCAAGCACTGACCTTGGCTCTCCCTGCAGAGCACAATGGCATGGGCATAACTGGGTTCTGTATTCATCCCTTCTCATGGCATCCATCTGAATAATGGTCAGTTTACAAGTCTCAAAAATAAAAAGAAAAAAAGAAAAGACTTTTCTAAATGCCGGTGCCACAACTTCACCATGGAAATGATATGAATATTAAGTTTGTTGTTCTGCATTTTGCATCTTCTACAGACAACAGATCCTGCAGGCAGAAATTACCAGCAGATTGCAGCGGGTGGTGGAAGGCAGTTCGTGTTCCTCTTCCAGCTGCATGGGCTCTTGAGGTTTCCTGCTTGCTCGCCTAATGTCACACGTCTGCTGAGATGGTTTGAATAAGGATGTTTCGCTTTTTAAAGTCACTTTTCTGATCTTAACCACATTGTAATGGTTTAGTGTAAAGTATATCACACCTTCCCCCAAAGTCATGCTAAATGGAGAGCCTTCTGCAAATTCAGCTGCCATTTGGGACTCTTCCCAGGCTTATCAACAAAATCTTATCTAAAGATAAAATCTTATCTCCTCTTATCTTAATAAGTCTCTCCCATTTTTATTTTTGCCCACAGATTTTGGTTGGCTGTCCAAGATCTCAAAAAACAACCTCTACAGGACGTGACCACCAGAGTGGAGGAAATCTGGCAAGAGTTTCTAGCTCCTGGGGCCCAGAGTGCTATCAACCTGGATTCCCACAGCTATGAGAAAACAAGCCAAAACGTCAAAGACCCAGGGAGATACACATATGAAGATGCACAGGTTTGTTTTTGATTTTATGGAACTACTGCTAATAAAACTTTCAGTTTTACCATGATATTCTACTATCACATTGTCACTGCTCACTTGTAAGAAAAAGGAGAGAGGCACGGTTGGAAGTGACTTTGAGGGTATCTATTCAAGCTGGGCAAATGATATTTTCTTTGAATCTATCAGCTGTTACAGGCTAATGCTCCTCTGGGAACAAATGTTCTGAAATTTACAAGTCTGCAAGGCACAGCGAGCTGTAGCCAAGTCTCAGAGAAAGCAAAGATGAAAGAGTGCCATAAAGTTCAGTTGGGCTCTCTGTACCCCCTGTCAACAGTCTGTCACATTTTCAGAATGGCTGATATCCTGTAAAAATTCTTATTAATACACTTGCTCTATCATTTATTCATTTATAGCTGATTACGTCTTCCCAACCAAACCCCAAACACAGCATCTCCTCAAACACAACTAGAAACTTGTCTCGCAGACACTGCCTTAGGATAACGTTAGGACAGTAAGCAATGCAGTGAGCATAATCCTTCCCTCCTAGGGGCCCTGTATTTATCAGGGAAATTTTACTGATAAACTATATACAGAAAATGCCTCTAGGAAAATAGATAATCTGTGAAAAACCATTGCGAGCTAGGATAAAACAGCATAACCTTCTGAAAAAGTGAAAATGTCATTTTATAAAGGCTAAAAAAGGAGAAAGGAAGAATGAATCTTTCTGCAAATATTAACAGGGACACAATTAAAATATATTCTCCTTAAAATCATTTTTATCAAGAGTGTGTAGTAAAATCAACAACAAATGAAAAGAACCCTTGTTCTTGTATTTTCTTTAAATTGGTGTTCAAGGGCAGTTCTTCAAAATACTCTGCTAACAAAATATTTTCATCTCAGGGGAGATGTTGAGGACCACTTATACAAGGTTAGGCAATGAATTTTTCAAACCAGCATCAAATACTGTATTTTCCTGAATGCAGTCCTGCTCCTTAGGGCCCACGTAGAAGGAATGTACGCAAAGTCTTAAGGCAATCCCCTGTGAATATCAGACAACATAAATGTTCTTTTTAAATCTGAGAAACAGTGCAGTATAAAGACATTCTAGCTAAAATGTATTTTATTTTGCTTTGCAGTTGTAGTGAACTAGAACTTGTGCAAATTTACATTGCCTGAAAAAAAATAAAAAGATGATGGTAAAATGCTGGCTAAAGAAGATAGGTGAAAAATGGAGGAATTAATTCAATTGATAAGTAGAAGAGCAGAGAATAAGATGGATGTTTAGGCAATGAGAATTTAATCAGAAGAAGACACTGAGGATTTAGGTTTGAACCGATCAGTTTACAATGTAATTGCCGTTCAAAGGGTAGTTGATGAAATCAGGCCAGAGCTCTTGCAGTTAGACTGCAATTTTAGCTCCTTGGGTTAATTTTATTTCAGAGAATTTTTATGTTACTGCTGTCCTCAACTCATCTCTTTTGGTTCACTGAAACAGAAATACAAGGCAGAGGTAGGCTTTCAGGCCCAGCTATGGTCATCTTAGAGAAAGAGTCTGCCACAATAGTGATGGGGAACCCTGGTCATCTTCTTGTGCATCATGGTGGGCTCTGGTAGCTCTGCAAAGGCCAAGCCAGCTGTTTCTGACTGCCTGAACAGATAGCTAAGAAGCAGGGATAAACCAGACATTGCCAGTATGCCTAATGCCCCTTTGGAAGCTGGCACAACATTGGCTGATACTGCCTCACCTGGAGAGGGACCACTCCTGTTCACACCTCCACTTCATGGCAGCCCACATAGGTGCCCCTGAGTCTCTCAGGTACCCTCCTGGTATCTCCGGCCATCAGCATTGCTGTTGCATCGCCTACTACACATTGCCACCTTGGGGACTGTGTTGTCTCACAGACCTGCAGCAGGCAATAGCCCAGCTGCCTTATCTTGGCATGCTGGCACCAGGAGGTTGAGCTCACACACATCCCACATTCCTAGAGATTCAACCAGACGCAAGTAGTCAAAACAGTCCACTGTGGGAGAGGAAATGTAAGTGTTGTCCTGTCCTGTGTAGGCTTAGCATGGAGGAAAATAACTTAAATGTCCTTGTGAATAAGGGACAAGAAAATAATTACATTACTGAACAGGACATTCTTTGAATGCCTGCAATGCAGGGACACTAAGACTATGAGGAAAGAAAAGGGTTGGCTGGACTGAGAAAAGGAAATCGCAGCTTCTGAGGTGGAAAATATGACAAAGTGATGTTGCACTTTAGCCCATGGGCAGACCTGGGAGACCCCCAGAATGTCGATTGTGTATAAAAAGCATTGAAAAGTAAAGCATTGGGAGGAAGAAGGTGCAGCAGAGCCCAGCGCACATCAAGCTAGTGACTGCCTGATAGCTGTGAGTTGATAACAAAGCATCATCTTTTATCAGGTGTTTAACAGTCTACAGAGATGTGGTGCTTTGTGTAACCTTGGCTTCCAGCCCCAGAGAGCTCTCCCAGATGCTGTACAACCATCAAGGCCAACACAGAAGGCAGTAGAGATAAATCTGGTCAGACAACTAGAAGAAAACAGGGAGAAAGAGGGCTCCTGACAAACATGCCTCTCATTTGAAATCTCTGCATCCCAAGGCCATTCAATGTATGAAGACAAATGGTCTCTGCATTCAAAAAAACGATACTGAAAATCTTAGCTCTAAGTATCCTCAAAGAGCTCATAATCTAACCTGACTTTGGGTGTGTTTATTACTGATGATAGAACTCACTCGTGCAGCACCTTCTGTTGATTTGGTGCTGGACTCCTCCAGAGGAGAGCCTACCAACAGAGCTGATTATTTTCTGCTCTTAAACAACTGTCCACTGAGTAAAACATTACAATTATTGAACCATTTTCACTTGGGAGTGAAGCAGCTTTTAATACATGGGGCACCATAAGGAAAGGTCAGTTCATTTAAACAGTGAACTACTTAGTGGGATCGGTGCTCCCACTGGAGTTATCAGCATCACAGAACAACCCCTTTGGGGCCCTGCAATATGAGGCAGGCACAGCCAGCTTTGGAGAGTAGTCATTGGTCCTTCCAAATGGCCTCTTTTGGCTGATGAAGCTGCTGACAGCCAAACTAACTTGTCTAACATGAGAACTCAAAAGTTGTGAGTATGACAATTATGGCTACTCTGCACAACGCGTATTTTTAGCAGTTTTTCCTTCGCGTCAAGCATCACCTCCCCTCTCTAGAGATGTCTTTCTACTCTCAGAAAGTCTTTACCCCCTGCCCCAGTCCCATCAATCCCATAGACCTTGGCATTGTGATCTAGTACTGTAGGGATGTATTGTGTTGCCCAGTATTAATGTTTGCTTGTAGGGGCATTTGTTGGTAAGCTTCAGAGCCAGGCATGCTAGGATAAGGTGAGCCATGTAGTTGTCTTTGCTATTACTTTTCTGCTTGCTTTGTTTATTTTTCTTCTTCTATAAATGAAGTAGAATTTTAGAATGACGTTCCTTTACCTGAATTATTAGCTGTTGTTTTTTCTGTGAAGATGATTCAGGGAAATTCAGTTCTAATCTGGGTTCTGTTAGGGATTTTGACTGTACTACACAGATCCTTAGCTAATTCTTGAGCAGATTAGACCACAATGCCGAACCCTGTGCTGTTCAAACCAGAAATGTACCTGGCCCAGACTTGGGCCCAGTTCATGCTTTCCTCTGCTGGTGCTGGTAACAGACAGCTGAGCCCTTGCAGTATTTGTCAGTGGTCAGTCCTTAGTTTTCATTCTGGTGCCACCAAGAAGCTGTGAGTGTTGACATAAGGTGATGGGACCGTGCTGAATTAAAAAAAAAAAACTCCGAGTGAGAGAAAGGGTCTCTTGGAAATGTAATGTCATTTTCTACCAAGAAGGGAAAATAAGGGGTGACCTTTCTTTTACTGACTTTGTTTTTTCAAGCATGCAGAGGATGTGAAAGCAAGCATATAAAGCAGCATATTCATGGTGCCTATTCACCAAGCATACAGAACTCCTTTTGTAGATGTTGAGCTAAATCACAGCACGGAAGGAAAACATGAAAATCATTCATTGCACACATCTGGATCACCTCTCACGTAAGAACTTGAGGAAAGCTTAGTGTTATTTTCTTTACGTTTCAACTACTCACCCCAGTTACCTGTCTGTCTGTCAAGGATAGTAACTTGGGATAGAAAACCAAGCAGTTCTGGTTGGCAGTATGGGCAGTCAGAAGAGGACATGGAGCAGACCCAGGCACCCTGCCTTGAAGGGTGGCTCGAGAGGCCCCTAATGCTCAGCTCACACTATGAGGGTTTGAAAGCACTGCTTTGCGGTATGTACAAAACATGTGCATGCACATACACACATAGTGCCCAGTCCTCTTGCAGGCCTTTGGCACCCTGATGTTGTCTATGAAAAGTAGAAACTTCACAAGAATTTGGCCTTTATTTTCTTCTCCCCTTTTGGCTCTGATTCTGTGGGGCAGAAGGGGAAGATCTTCCCTTGTCGTGCTCTCCAGTAGATGCAGCCTTCACCAGAAATCTCACTGTTGCTGAGTATTTGTTACACGTACAAACAAAAATGCAAGTTCCTTCCCTGTGGATTTCCCAGAACAGCTTACATCTAAACTGAATCTAAAACCAAGAGTCCCACAAATGCACCCAGAAGAGCAATTAGATGCCTGCAACAAAAATAGGAAAGTGATCGTGGAGGGTTATGCTGGTGTGTCTGATGCTGCACAAACCAGGAAATGAAAGACTTGAAGCAGAGGTCAAAGTAAGAGCAGATAGTAAGATAGTAAGTGTTACAACTTTCCTGAGACTTTATCCTAAATGTATGTACATGCTACACATCTGAAAGTACTTTTTTTTTTTTTTTTTTTTTTTTTTCAATCTTTGGCTTTTTAATTTGTGCTCTAATAGTCATGTTCTATGACAGAATGTCTGAACAAGCAACTTTTGTCTTTACCAGACGTTTGTCTTTACCATCTCCTAACTCTGAAAAATACCTTTGAATGGAT